TGTATAGCCATCTCGACATGAGGTTTCTTCAAACGTAGTTCGGTCAGTAAGTACTTCACATGTCGCAAATACAGGGATCATGGCAAGAAAACCTGAACCTACGCCACACGTTCCGATGAGATGGGATTCCGGTCCACTACGGCAAAAATAACCAGAACAGGAAGCCATGAAAAGAAGACTCCGAGATCCAGCACAAAAATGGTCGTGCTGTCTGATAGGTCACCAAAGGCCAGGACCACAGAGAAGATGAAAGCCATCAAGAACGTTGCCAGACTAGAGAGGGTCGGAATGACGCCCCTTCGGCGATGCATCCGTATTTGAAAGGCCAGGGCCGAGAGCAGCTCTGTTGTCAGTTGAATCTCAACCTCCTCAATTGCGGTAAGCGAGGCCCTCTGGTATCCGCTTAGTCTTGGATTCGGTCCATGGTGTGCCGGTACTGCATCATCGATAAGTGGCCCATGAGCCTCGCGTGGCAGCTCACGGAGCGGAATCTCGTCTGCGTCGCCATGGCCATGTGCACGAATGGAAACGTTTGAAAGGGGGCGGAACAGGCCATAAACCAGAGTTTGAAGGAATATCTCCTCGTCCGTGAATCGATCGACATTGACGCCCCCGCCATGCTCTGGCCCTATCGTTTGGCGAACCTTGTCTCCACGACTACCAACCCCGAGTTCGAACTGATTGAAACAACTTAGCAGATAGTAAGCGTCCACCCACGAAACTTGGCGCAGACCTGCGTCTCGGGCACGGCGATAGCATTCTCGGGTCGACCGAAAGTTCCATATCGAGGCAGTGAGCGCCGTCTGGGGCGTTCCGAGCCAGGTTCCAATGGCTGATAGCGTCCGTCGGATTCTATGTCTGTGGGGTGACTCGAATGGGAGGCCAAGAAGAATCGCAAGAGGAAATACCCAAGTTGCCAAGATGCCCACAATGCTTGTGGTTTTATTGAACACGATTGTGGATTCTCCACAAATGCGTTTACATCCTGATAGTGTATCTCAAAGTGTTAGGATCATGACGGCTGGGAAACGACAGAAAGCTTCAGAAGAATCTGGTAGGCTCAACATACCTTCGTACGTAAGAAGCAAATACTGGTCTCTTGGATACGAGCTATCTAGACCCCTGGGCGTTCCGTTGTATATAAAGATGCCTATGTTGCGTTGCGTCACCCCGTTGTACTCTGCAATGGTGCCGTCTCGGATAGAGTCGAATCGGTCACGGCAGTCGTCCCAGCTGTACGGATCCACGGCGTAGGCAACGCTTGGTGCCGATATCAGGGCCAGGATCCAGACCGGGGCATGGTAGAGGGTAATACGGCAAACTCTCGAGCCAGAACAGGCCATACTCTCACCGAACCTTGATTCGGCCTCTCTGCTTCTCTTTATCAACTTCTGGATATCAACTGGTGTATAAAAAAGAACGTACAGCGGAAAAATAGGAGTCGGAGAGTCCTGAGGCTGGTGGTCGTGCGTCACATCATGGCAGCACCTGGCGCCTGGACTGGATGAGAGATACCATTCTTCAAGAGAAGAGGCAATTCAATCGAAATTTATAGTCAACGGTGATCAAATTGACACCCCTGGAAGGGACCATGAGCTCAAGGAAAAATGTGTTTCATTTCGGTGTGATACGCCTTTGATGTGATTGCTGCCGCCAGCAGGTCTGTTTTTCGGTTTTCTCGCAGTTTCCGGGCGTCTAAGAGGCACACCAAGCTCTGATATTAGCAACATGGAAAGTGAATATATCCTTCAGTATGCCTCGTGGCGTCTGTATGGTATGCAAGTTGGGCAAAGTGACAGCCGCAAAGCCTTGTGGGACACTGCCTCTGAGAGCCGACGCCATGCATAATCTCGCAGTATTGATGAAAACCAACCATGTTCTCCCGTCCTGTGTTCGCATTATTCTTCCTGCGTCTGGCTTGCTCGCCTCTCTTGACCACGATGTACAATATTGGAATGAGAAGCCTGAGAAATAAGTGTGATGGTGGCGTCATGTGAGCAATTCTGTGTCCAAGGTTCTGCTGGGTGCCACGCCCCGCGAAGAGGAGCATCGCTCAAACCAAGTCCAGCTTTCCGCGACAATAAAACTGCCTACCCAGGTTCTCACATACCCCAAATCGAGAACATTGCAAAAGGCTGTTCTCTAGGCAACTTGGACTGGAACCTCCACATTTCGCCCATCCAAGGCCAGAATCTCATCAAAGTCATTGTAGGCAAGCATCCGGGGCGTTTCTTCTTTGCTTTGTAGCCATGCCCACACGGCACCCGGCGTGTAACTGGTTAGGGTGGAGTAGGCTCGTCCGTAGTCGGCTCGCTGAAAGACGGTTCCAGTAGGATCCATCCTCTTCATTTCTGCAACATGCTCGGGAGTGGCAACCCCCAGGAAATGATCCCTTCGAGGTCCGACGGGAAAGGTTCTGTAATCAGTTAGTACGACGACTGCAACTGGCCCAAGCATGGGTCAAGACAAGTTTCAGTCTGCTCACAATGCATTACCGAAAACGCCATGGCAGAGGCTCGGCTCTTTTCTCAACAGCCCCTCGTTCCAGACGCACTCTCTTGCCCTCTCGATCGCTGCGTCTATACGATCATGCAGGGTGGGAAAGTGCTGCCTTAATGAGAGCAGTGAAAAGAGGAAGCCTGGGGCTCCATGGCAGAACTGCACCAAAGTCTTTCCTCCATGGTGGTGTCCTTCGTGACTGGGCCAGTTTCCGTCACTGTGCTGCAAGTCCAAGAGTCTCGTCACGACTGATTCGAGCTGTGGAGCGACTGAAGGGGAGGTCAGAACCAGCTGTGTGACAATGCCCACGTCGCCATGAGCGGCGCCGAGGTAGCGCTTTCCGTGCCACTTCCAATCAGGGCCGTTCTTGATGATGGTGTTGGAGATCTCATCTATGGCAGGATCAACGAGAGGTTTGCTCTCAGGGACCCAATGACGGACCAAGCGCAGTAGGTACAGGGTGCCAGCACGGCCGTAATGGATCTCGTCGGGGAATTCTTGGACCTGGCAGACCTGAGAGACTGATGACACAAACTCACGCACGTGACGTATATCCTTGGAGACAGCGGCGCGGACAGCTTCCCAACTTAACCGCTCATCAGTGATGCCACAGCCATGGGAACCTAATCGCAAGTTGTGGCCCCTCGACCCAGAAACATAGCCCAGGGCCCAATGAGCTGCGGGTTGGCCGCTGATGAGAAGACCAGGCCGATATGACGAGACCTGCAGCATGAGATAGCCAATGCCAGTCGGGCCACTCCACAGACCTTGCAGAACCTCGTGCGGGTACCTGCTTCGAGGGGGATAATTGACGACGATGTCCTCCAGAGCATTCGTGAGATAGACATCGGTGTCGCCAATCGTAAGGAGGTTGTTTGGTTGACTGACTGAGAAGTGCCGTTTCTCCATCTTTTTTGAAACTGGGAATAATGGACAGTGTGATCACAATAATGGTGGACCTGGTGGGACAAGTGGTTGTAAATCTTGTTCGCGTTCGATGCGGCAGGGCCACGTTGGACGTTATTCAGATGGTCGGATCGGGCTTGGCTGCTATTGCTGGCGAGAAGGTGATGAGAGACGTTGATGGATACGGTTGTTGGGCGCGAATGCAGTCGCCTTGATGTTGTGGGCGAGGAATGGAGCGGGAGATGGCATTTCTTTGCTCCCTGTGTATGTAAACTGGATCATGAGGGTTTGTTTTGTTGATGCTGTGAGGTCGCTGCGGGCTGGACCTCAACTTGTCGTCATGATGTCTGAACAAGCAGATGCTTGGCACGCAGTGCCACGCTAAAATGAGCGGCCCGGGCGGGGTGTCAAATGCGGGGACAAAAGACCGGGAAGCCGGAGTTGATGATGGAAGGCGAAAAGCATGAGGAAGGGGGCGGGAGTTTCCAGCTTGGCTTGGAACCACTGCAGGGAGACCACATCAACGGTCGATCGACCAAAGGGAGGCGGGGTAAGAGCCACGCCGCCACGGGCTGTCTCCCACAATGGACATTGAAGATTCAATCGGGCGACGTGCAGTTGTGAACTGGTGCATCACACCATCAAATCTTGAAATCTGCTCAAAATATCACCGGGTGCTGGGCGAGCCGAATCCCGGGATCTCCCGTCCGCGGCAGGAACAGGAAGGTCCTTACCGTACAACCCAAAGCGAGTCCTCATCATGGATTGATCACAAACCTCCCGTCTTCAGATATGTCACTTTTATTGAGGTTTACTCATATAGTGAGTGACACATTGATGCACTCATCTCAGAGTGCTGCGAGATAGAGATAGGACCGAGTCTCACTAACGAGTATGGTATATGCTCTTGTAATGCAAACTAGCACAGCTGTTAGTGCATATGCTTTATTTGCAGTATATTTCAGCAGGAAAGGGACATTGTTCTAACACTTTCGATAACGCATGATAACAGCATTGTCGCGTTCAGCTGAAACGCACAGTAATGCCGGTCAGCAATAAGTCTTCACATATAGTTATATGAAACGAAACTATATTAATGTCTGCTAGAGAAGAGAAACCACTAGATTCAAATACATTGTCTCCCAACATCCTTCCTCAAACTTGGGATTATAAGCATTAAACATCATCTTTCAACATTCGCCACTATCTAGAGACAAGATATTAGTTTTCTTGTCTCGTAACATATCTATCCATCATCTTTGACTCTGCGAGGGCCTTGTGTCATTTTCGTGACGTGGGTTATTGATGCTAGGTATCGTCAAACCTACACTCATATAGCACGCATGATCCTCGCCTTAATGTAAGTTTCGGTGTGGGATCGAGGAAGCCATGGCCATAAAGGAGATTGGAAAGAAGTGTGTGTAAGTAAGTAAGTATCTATCTATCTATCGTATTAAAAGTAAGCAGCTTTATCTCAGCTTGAGAGCAAAGGTCAGGTGTCTTGTAGGAGACGAAAAAGAAATAAACACATCCCTTTAACAAGAAATAGTGACGTGAGGTATGATAAACACATATCAAGGTAAAAGAACATGACATGCCCTCTAACAGGATTGAACTGTTGACCTTCGCATTGACTTGATAGAACCGAGAATTCTATTAGTACGACGCTCTAACCAGCTGAGCTAAGAGGGCTTTAACTTGTCCCTTTTGTTGGATGGTTGCCGAGTTGCCTGGCAGAGACTTTGTGGCTACACTGTGTGTGGATATGGTGGCTTCTGGGCAATGGGTCACGGAGTCTTGGATGTCAAAGCCAGCGGTTTGAGTTGCAGAGGTCCCGAGCTTGATTCAACGTTTTACTCCACAGAGAATGGACAGGGTGCAAATGTTTATTGGGAAACAAGGTCCAGACTGAAACGAGGCAATCGAGCAAGATAATGAACGTAAAAAGGTACATCTATTAATGCCGAGTAATAGGTAGTAGATACATAAGAAACCAGTGTTGCTTATACAAAGAGCGCGTGAGTATGTGTCATTTCCTTTCCCAATCCCGGATTTTTCTTGCCTCCATGTGTTGTTTTATTCAATGTTACTTTGCTGTTATACTTCATGCCTCGCAGTTTTCTTGCCTCTTGGCAACCGTCTTCTTTACCCTGGCTGACTGAAAGGGAATCGGGCTCCTCTTCTCAGGCGCACCCGCGTATCTGATGCGGAATGGCACGGTCTCGGTCTTCTCATAGTCGTCGACGTTGTCACGGTCGCCAAAGATCTTGAGTGCCTTGACGGCGAGCTTGTAGATGCCCTGCTTCACGTATGTGCCGTCGGACAACTTGCCATCCCACGAAGCCTCGAGGGTTCCGCGAGGGTTGTAGTAGAGAGGAGTGTCGGCGGGCATGCCCACGCTCTTGGTTCCCAACACGGTCGTGGCGTTGGCTGCCCTGCAGCTGTTGACTGGGACCACGTCAATGCGGACCAGAGCGCTACCCATGGCCAGCTCGACAACGATCTTGGGCAGGGTGGTGTTCCTGTAGGCCGTGTCGTTGGAATGGCCGGCGGGAGGCAGTATGAAGGTCGTGTTGGCAGCAACGGCGATGTTCAAGCTGTCCCCGGTTCTGCTGAGACGGGTGAGCCTAGGGTTCAGAACCGTCGCGCTGTGGAGGCTTCCGGCGACACCGAGGTAGGGAAGCGAGAGCCCAGAGCCGTCGGTGCCGTTGATGGTGATGTATCCAGAGTATACCGGCAGACGCTTGGCATCGAGCCCAGTTGGAGCAGCAGCGCGGACGCTGATGATTCTGCGCTGCCCGGCTGGGATGGTGATTTTGCCCGAGGGAGTAAATGCAAGAGTGGCAAAGTCGTCGGTGAGGTCATTGGGAAAGGTATCGGGAGTGGCGGACCCGTTGTCGGGAAGCGTATAGCCAGTGGCGGCACCGACGTGGCCCAAGTCGTAGGTGATGGCCTCCTTGGCGGTGTTGGAGATGGTGAAGTTGCGAACGGGCACAAAGTTGTCCGTGTCGTTGAAAGAGAGGCTCGAAACGCTGAGGAGCGTGGTTGCACGAGCAGCATCCCATGCCTGAATCAAGCCAGCACCTTGCTGCGGGACAGGAGCGAGCACAGGGTAGGCATTTCGGCCGTCCTGGAACAGGTTGGGGTGCGCAGTGGACGAGAGAAGGTTCTCAAGCGTCCTGGGATCGCTGGTCTTGCGGGCGTTGATGAGGAGGGCATACACAGCCGCCGCCAGAGGGCAGGCCATAGAGGTTCCAGAAAGCACGGCGTAAGCACCCAGGGCCCGGGGATAGGTTGCAAGGATCATGCCACCCGGGGCCGAGAACTGGGGCTTCACATCGACCTCGAAAGTGGGACCCCAGCTGGTGTAGGTGCTTGCGAATCCGGCCGAAAGAATGTTGTCAAAGTTGGCGAGGAACTTGGGAGCCGTCTCAGGGTCGGTGAAGGTAGGGACCACTTTGGATCCAGCCTGCAGAGTCTTGATGAACTGAGCTCCTTGGTCGGCCGTGACCATGGCAACTCCCCTGACGCCCTCCACCACGCCAGAAACCGCAGTAGTGCCGACTACATTGTTGTAGAACAAGACATACTTGGCGCCCTTGGCCCGGGCGTTGGTGATCTTCTGCACGAAGGTGCACGTACCTCTGCGGACGAGCACAATGTAGCCAGACAGATCAGGGGTCGAATCAGGGTAGGGATCGCATCCGTTGGCTGCATCAGTGGTGTCAAAGTTGACGGCCCACAGAGGAAGGCTGACGCCATCCCAGGCGCCAGGCTCTCCGACGGTGTATCCAAAGCTCTTGACCGGGCCATCGTCAACCTTGAAACTGGCATTGCTGAGCAGAGCGGGAGAGAGAGTGTTATCGGTCGAGGCAATGGCTGTGACCCTGCGACCGTTGGCGGCAGTGGATGCATAGAAGAGACCCTCAGCACCGTCGTTGCCAGCCGAGACCACGCAGGGCACGCCGTCTTCGACAATTCTGGAGACCACAGAGGCCCACGGATCCTCCGCCCAGCCTGAAGGGCCACCGATAGAAGCAGTGATGATGTCACTTCCGGCCTCGTACGCCATGTTGTACGCTGCGATCAGGATATCATTGGGCACGTCACCGGTGCAGCCAAAGACACGGTAGGCACCAAGAGTGACTCCCTCGGCCGCGCCGATGATACCGTACGGGTTCTTGCTGGACTGAGCGGCAATGATGCCAGCTACGTGCGTGCCGTGGCCTTGGCACGTGTCCAGGGGGTCAGCGTCGGGCACCGGCGTGTTCTTGCCATTGAACTTGTCACCAACCAAGTCGGCACCGTACGAGACCAGACAGCCTTCACCAAAGCAGCCTCCAAGAGCAGGATGAAGGTAATCAATCTAGCACGGAAAAACAGTCAGACCGGGTTTGACAAACAGCAAGCAAAAGGTACTCACGCCAGTGTCGATGACGGCAACCTTGATCCCCTTTCCAGTCTCGCCGGCGTCCCTGAATTTGTTGACCTGGGTCATGAGATGGGGCGTGAACAGGTCCTTGCCCTCAACCTGACGCTTCTTGAGCTCGGCAGCCAGAGCACTGCCGGTGGAGTGGACCGTATGCTGAGGAACGGGATACGACTTGACCGGCCAGACGTTCTTGATCGCTGGCATCTCGGCGATCTTTTCTGCCATCTCCTCTGCTTTTTCGAGCTTCTTGAACTGGATTGATGCGCCCTTGAAGAGCTTGAACTTGAGGTTCTTGCGGAGTGTTGCCTCTCCCTTGATGTCCTTCAAGAAGGCAGCAGTATCCTGTGGCACGCCGTGCTTGTGTCAGAGACAAGTTCCAGTCCAATTATTTGCAATGGATAAACTCACCTGGTTGTTCTCATACTCGACAATGTAGGCACCCGGAACAACTTGCGGCGTGTTGGCTACAGCCTGGGCGACGCCAGCAGCCGCAAGAAGCGACGACAAGATATCGAGACGAACCATGGTGTCTGGTTCGGGAGAGGGGGCGGAGGGACGGAAGCAAGTCCTGGGATGGTCAAAGGAAAGGAAGGAGCGTCTGGGATCGGCTACGCAACGGGCCCCGGAGACTTTGACGACGACTGCGATGTCCTCACAACGGCGACGAAGCACAAGACATGGCACGACGCCACCTGGGGGGGAGAGTGAGCTGGGCCCATGATATATATAAGCATGGCCCCCTGGACACCCTGATGGAGCGAGAGCGAGCATACAGGGACGAAGCGACGGTTGAATTTACCCATATTCTTATCTGAGAGTGCAATTGATTAACCCCATTGGGTGGCCACCTTGGGCCCTGTTCGCCCATGCTTGCCCATGCACCAACCCGCCGACGAGGTTCTTGCGGGTCTAGGCACCTATATGGATGGTGTGATATAGCTGTCCTGCTCGACGAGGCAGGTCGGCCAGTTGCCAACCGAGGAATGCAACCACCCGCCGAGGCCCTGGCTTGGTTGCCAAGACAAATTAATTTATGGCCAGCTAAGATCGCGGGAGTTTTTCTGTGAGAAACTGGAGAACAAGCATTTGCCTCCATGGCTGCTCTCCAGCTGCATGGGGGGCAATGGCATCGGGGATGCTGTGCCACTGTGTGTCTTGCTGCGGGGGATTTATTACACAATACACCACGGATGGGCACCTAGTACCTGGCTGGCGACATGCGCAGCCCAATACGGAGTATTATATGACGAGAGGGGATGTACTATAGAGATGTTGCACCTAAGGATGCGTGCAGGATTTGGGTGCTATAACTCATCACGAGGCGGGGCGGAAAGAAACGAAAAGGAGGAGGATCAGCGCGGATGCTGTCACTGCTCCATTCAATACCTTATGGTGACATAGGTAATATTTGGTTGTATTCCTGTGAACCCTTCTGGGCACTTTTGGCATTCGCCGTCGGAGGCTCCAGTCGGTCGATGTGAACGGTGGTATCGTCTGCTTGTAAATCGAACAATTTGGATGTCTGGGACCTCCTTGTGGTGGGCAGGAGAGACCACCCCTCGGCGGGATATCCTGGTACCGAAAAGCTTGATGGACGTATAAAGTTCAGGAGCTCATCTCCCGACGCGAGTTGTCAGTCGACCGCGTCTTCCAAGACCTCCCTTTCCCAGCAAATGGCGACGTTCTCTTTTGGGGAGGTTGCTTCGGCACTGGACGCCATCGACACTTGTCGTTCTGAGCTGCCAAGTCGAGCCAAGCTTGACCGTTGACCCGCCCGATCTGGTTAGGCCGATAGGGGTTAGCACGGGAGCTAGGGGGTTCGTCGGAGATAGACCGATGCTCGGACAAAACGGTTCCGCGACCACGAGATTCCAGCCCATCACAGCATCACCCATAAGATCCGAGAGAGCATGTGGTGAAGACTGAAGAGCGTCTTTTTCCTACCTGCCCTGCCCTGCACTGCGAAAAGCAAAATCTTCATCCAGGGCGAGAGCATTCAAAAATAGCTTGTGGACGAACCCGTACAGAAACTACCAAGGTTGGCGGGGACGAGGATGGCGGAGAAGAAAGTGCTGAAAGTCTGAAAGGACGGCGGGAGAAGATGGCTCCACGTTTGGAGCAGAGGGTGCAGCTCCCCTGCCATGCCGCTCTTTGGTTCCTGCATGTCAATTGGAGTCACATGGGCATGGGCCCCAATACCCCGCAGTCTTGTTCTTCACAAATCACGACTTCACAACGGGTTGCTCCTCCGTGACACAAC